CAAATGGCCACCTCAGGGTGGCTTCAAAACAACGTTCTCCTGAGTGCAGAGCCACCTGCAAGAGCAGCCCAGGCTGCGGGCTACACGCCGGCATAGCTGGTGACGGGTTTGCAGGAAGAGGAGAGTGGCTGCAAATGAGTGAGGATGATACCCCTGTGCACACACGCTGCCCCTGCCCCTGCCCCCCAGCCGTGTGCCCACCACCTGCCGTCTTGCTTTTCCCTCTCCGCCTGCTCTGCCAGGGCCCCATCTGAGAGCTTGCCCCAGATTTTGCCAATTTCGTACTGTAATAGCCAGTAAGGCCCTTCCAGTAGACAGCTGGAAATTTGGGGGAAGTTCAATCAAGTGATACTTTGGGGTGGGGAGGCTGTCACAGTTCTTTCTGAGAGTCAGATAGAAGTATAATTCCAGGGCTGGCCACTTGGCTCAGTTGGTTAGAGCACAACCTTATAACTCCAAGGTCACGGGTTCAGATCCTTATACCAGCCAGCCGCAAAAAATAAAAATTAAAAAGTAAAATCAATGCGCCTCTGCCCACACAGATGGAATTTTGCATGCAATTTAAGGACACTGAAGCCCACCTCTAAGCGAGGGAGGAGGGAAATGAGGATGTTTGAGGTTGTGGTGGGTGTGGAGGACTTGGACCAAAGAGGGGCCTATGTCTCCTATTTCCCCCCTGGGGAGATCCTGAGGAGCAGCCCTTCGGGTCCTGTCCCGAGGGAGCCACAGCCCCCCATCCAGCACCCACCGGAGGAGCTTTGAGGCTTCAGGGCGGGCGGGGGAGCAGGCAGCCTGGGAACCGGTCTGCCAACCAGTCTAACCAGGGACTGGTTTCGACTCAGGGAGTTCAAAGAGAGCTGGGGTGCACCCCGTCCTGCCCAGCCCGCCAATGGAGCAGTGGCCCTTAACCCTTTCCCGGTTGTGCCCTGGGCAATGTCCAGGAGGTAGTCCAAGCTGGAGAGGGGTTAGAGCCTCTTTGGAGGATGAAATGGGTGGGGGTGACCTTGGCTACAGCTGGGTTGGGGGGTGTGCAACCAGGTACTCGAGAGAGGGGAAACTGAGGAAAGAGGCTCTGTGTTCCCCCACCCGAGACTTCCCTTGGGATTCCCTCCCCCAGCTTGGCGGTCCCGGGAGGACCCTGGCTTCTGGGTGGATTCAGGGGCTCTGGGATTGGATTTCTGGGGTGATGAATATTCATCAGCCTGAGCCGGCCTCTGCTTCTGTTTACTTAGCCGGGAGGGGCTGGGTTTCAGGTTCACCTTGACTCCAGGAACTGCCTCGGAACAGGTACCGCTCCTGCACCTGTTTCTCTTGCACCTGACTGTGCAGCTAGCTGCTCCTACCCACCTCGCCTGGCCCGAGCCTTGCCTGGCACGGCACCCTGGAGGCACCCCCTCCTCCCCCAGTCTCACCCTCCCCGGCAGCTCCTACACTCAGCTCCTCTAGGGAAGGTCTCGCTTCCAGCCCGGAGCAGTCAGGATAACAGGTACAGGCAGAGGGCCCGAGGGTGGGGAAATCAAGGCACAGTCCCCTGTCAGGGCACTCTGTTCTGCATCCATGGCTGACAAGCCCAGCGGGAAGGGGAAACCCAGGCATGCGGTCTCCACCGGACTCATCCCACTGGCCTCTTGGAGTCAATCCAAGCCTCCAACAGAGCTCCTGCTGAGAAAGTTTCACTCCAGAGCAGTTCTCTATTAACTCTTGCTGAACTGGAGCCCACTCTGACCCCCAGCCGGAGCATGCTTCTGGCTGTGTGGTAGGAACTTCTCTCTGTTCCTATCCAGGGTAACCCAGTGTCACCCGGGGAAGACAAGTGCCATTAGGGGCCTTGCAGAGGGCTGGGGGGCTGGGGGGATTCTGGGTTTTATCTTAGAACACAGAAGCTGACTTTCTTCCCCCACCTGCACCTCCACCCTTGCTCCAGTCAATGGCTAACTTGTCCCAGCTCAGAAGGGGCCCGGTCCAGTCTGGGCAAAGCCATTCAGAGCAGCTCACAAAACCCAGCTGGGGTGGAGTGACCTGTCCTGGTGCACCCACGTGCATGCCATGGTGCTGGCCACCAAAGGCAGGGGGTGGCAGGCTGTCCCATGAGGCCTTTCTTGGGCCCCAAAGCTGTGCAAACATTGGAGGTGGAGCAGGCATCCTCAAGGACTGATTTCCTTGTCTCTTGGATTGCAGGGCCCCAGGGCAAGGGCCTAGCCTTCAGCATGGCCAGCTCAGGGCCCTGCACAAGATGACTGCAGGGCCTACTGCGTGTCACCAAATCTGAAATCCTAAGTACCCCACCCCACCCCAAATCTCCTCCAGCCTTCTGTGATTAGGCATGGGCTTGCGGCCACAGATAGCTTGCTCTTTGCAACTTTGTGTATCTGGAAAGTTTGGATATCACACCATCTTTTTTTTTTTAAGCAAATCAAATTTTATACTATCTTTTAAGCACTATGTAAAGGAATCCTATAGCTAGGTTATTTTGTAAAACAAAGAATAGTCTGCTAATTTTTCTGTTTTGCAAGTTCAAATTTCCATATGTCAGGCTCACCTAAAGGGACGAACACCTGCTTACTTGTGCTCACATGTCCTCCTGGACAAAGGGGACAGGAAGGCCTGGCAAAGAGCATCCTGGAGAGACCAGGGTACATGACCAGGACAAAAGAGCACAGTGTCTTGGTGCCTTGGTGCCTTGGTGCCTTGGCGGAAGCCCCAGGGTAGGGGAGAAGGGCTATTCCTGCCTCTGTGGTTTTCTGACAAGTACCTTGTGATCTGTGGCTCCCTTTACTCCAGAGAGTTAAGCCCTGGGGATGCTAACTTGAAATATCCTTTAAAATGGGTATATTTTAACTGGCACAGGCAGAGGCCACTTTCTCTCACGGAGCTAGGAAATCTGGTTGCTATAGTAGGTTCAGGAGCAGGATCTTCTGTTCCTCCATTCCCCAAGTTCCTTGGCAGCCCCGGACGGGTGGTTGGGAGGCCATGGGCCTTGCTGCAGACAAGGCAGCAACTGGGCACCCTGAGATCAAGCAAGTGCCTTGTCCCTCCTTGCCTGCCCTCCCTGCAACTCCTTCCAGAAACCCATTCTGGAACACCACGTTCTGTGCAAGGCTGTGCTAAGCCCAGGTGGGGCAAGCTGCCAAAGCAAACCTCTCAGGCTGTCCCTTGGTGCGCTCACCTCTCCAGGGTGCCCTGAAAGTGTTTATGTGGCCACTCTCACCCTCTCCTTCACCTTCTAAGTGGGAGCTGCACAAGGTCTCCCCTTGGCTTCTCTTGCTGCTTGAGCCCCTCAAAAGAGACAGAGCTGGCAATGTGAGATCTGCTGCCTGGAAAAAGAGGTGGGAAGGAATCTACCAGGCATGTGCTCTGATAAAGGGGGTGGGTGCATGGAGGGGCAGGAGACAGCAGCAGCGAGAGGGCGATGGAGGCAGGCGTTCAACTCACCCAAGCCTAGGCCAACACCCTGCTTTCATTTTTCCTGAATTTGATATGATCCCCCCTAAAAAAATCCATACTCGGGCCGGCCCGTGGCTCACTCGGGAGAGTGCGGTGCTGATAGCACCAAGGCCACGGGTTCGGATCCCATATAGGGATGGCCGGTTCGCTCACTGGCTGAGCGTGGTGCTGACAACACCAAGTCAAGGGTTGAGATCCCCTTACCGGTCATCTTTTAAAAAAAAAAAAAAAATCCATACTCATTATGGAAATTCTGGAAATTAGAAAACTAAAGGGGAGAAAGCATCCTCTATTCCTTCTACATAAAGAAAACCACTATTGTTTGGCCTATTTCTTTCTGGTCTTTTTAGAAAAGTTAGCAAAGACCATCAGTATGTGACAGGGGGTGACACAAGTATGTTCGCCCGGGCTTGGGCCGGCTGACCATCCAGCTTCCCGGTGTGCGCTGCCTGCCGCCCCCTCCTCCTGGAGCTTCCGCAGCACACACCCAGGAGTCCTGAGAACCAGACCACCCACCCCTCCAGACCAGGCCCAGAGATGCCTATAATTCTCACCACTCTGCTCACTCTTTGATTGATCTTAATTACCCTGGTCGACTGCTGCCTGCTCCTAGCTTACATGCCCCAGTGTTCAGCAACATCCAGTCACCTTCATCTTCCAGAACTTCCCCAAGCTCCTATAGCACCTTTGTGGAAGTTGGTAGAAGGTGAGGTCCCTGACAAAGGCAGCTCCATGTCAGGACACACAAGCTTGTGCATGGAGAGGACAGGATTTCACCTCCTCACCCCACTCCAGTGGGTGTCCTTATGGAAGGTACAACCTGTGGTGACCATATCCCACACATACCTCTGGGCTCCACCTAACTGCCTTCCAGACTCTTAGCTCCCCTTCAAACTCCTGTCCTTGTGGAAGCTTGTGGGGAAATAGAGCCATCCCTTAGTAATTATTACCATTACAAGTTTTACTTTGCAAAGCATGCCTGCCTCTGTGGGCAGGAATTAGCGGAAGAGTTAAGTGGTAGGGCTGCAAGGGACAGATGAGGAAACTGAGGCCCAGAGAAGTAACTTGCCAGAGGTTGCAAGGCCAGGACGGACCCCAGGCCTTCCCACTCCCCACCTGGACGTTCCTGCTTCTCCCCCTTAGGAAAAGCTCAGCAGCTACGTTAGTCCTGCTGGTCACCACTGGGAATTTCAATTTGCTTGGAATATCACAAACTCTATGTTATTTTGTGGTGAATCCCAAACAGAATGCACAGCGTGTGTCTGTCCATGTGCTCCAGTCAATAGCCTGCCCATCCCAGGCAGCAGGGCCGGTGGTGTAGTGGGAAGAGCGGGGAATGGTGTCACAGGCCTGATGCCATGTGACCCAGCACGCTGTTCACCTGCCTGCAGCACTGAGGTGCCTGGCAGGAATGATCTCGAAGCTCCCTACAGCCCTGCAGGGTGTTGTGCGTGGCTGTCCCACTGCCCCCCTGCCTGGCTTGGGTGGCTTCCCTGCTGATGTTGACTTGGTGGCCCTTTCCTCAGACCCTGCCTTCTTCTCATGCTCTCCACGAGCGCTGTGGCACCCGCTCACCTGAATCCTGGGTTTCTCTGGCCCTACCTTCAATCTTGGTGGCCCTTTCCTCAGACCCTGCCTTCTTCTCATGCTCTCCACGAGCGCTGTGGCACCTGCTCACCTGAATCCTGGGTTTCTCTGGCCCTACCTTCAACTCTTTCTTCAATTCATAAAATAGCCCATGAGAATGAGTCTAGAGAGGGCCGGTCCAAAGGCACCCCGTCTCCCACTGACCCTTTGTCCCTCCCACCCTGCAGAAGCCCCACCTCGGCCCAGGCAGCGCCATGACTGAAGTCGGCTGGTGGAAGCTGACCTTCCTCCGCAAGAAGAAATCCACTCCCAAGGTGCTGTATGAGATCCCCGACTCCTATGCCCAGACGGACGGGGGCGCGGAGCCCCCGCGGCCCGAGGCTGGGGCCCCCAACAGCGACTTTAGCACCCGCCTGGAGAAGATTGTGGACAAGAACACCAAGGGCAAGCATGTCAAAGTCTCCAATTCGGGCCGCTTCAAGGAGAAGATAAAAGTTCGAGCCACACTGGCGGAGAACCCCAACCTATTTGATGACCGGGAGGGCAAAAAACAATGACGGGGCTGAGGGGGATGCTGGCACCTGCCATCTCCCCACCAGCAGCCGGGTCTGAGGCAGGGGCTTGCCACGCTGGCCTCTTCGGCCACAGCAGAAGCCGTGGGGGGCAGTTGATGCCTGCTGGCAGGAAATGTCTGGTTTTTAGGTTTGTATTTATGTGCCCCAGATTTCTGTGAGGCCTGGGAGATCCCAGGTCCTCCCACCCTCCCCTGACCACATACAAAGGCACTCCAGTTCAAGGATGGAGACCACCCCCCACTGCTGGGAAGGACAGTCCCCTGTGGAGGAATGGCAGTGCCAGCAGGGAGGGGGGCGTGGCAGGGAATAAAGAGAGGGAGCTGGACAGACTCCACCTCCTTCCTGGGCACAAGGTCAAGGGTGAGTCTGAATTGCTGCTCCCTCTACTTTCTCTGCCTGGGACTGTTTTCCAATCCTGAGGACAGCACATTTTCCAGAAGCCACGTGATGGAGGGTGGTTTCCTTGAGCTGGAGGTGGAGATGCTGAACTTGAGCTTACCTCCCAACACAGTGGCAAACTTCCTGGAACTTCACCCCCAGGTGTGGAGGGGGTGAGGTCCCTGGCACTCCATGGGGGTTGCCACAGAGATTAGTAATCCTACGGGTTCCTGCTTTGGCCACCACTTGTGCAGGTGTCAAGTCACACACCCTCAAAGGGAAGCTACGTTGGCCCAAGGGTCCAAACTGGAGAATGGGTGGAGAAGCTCTGGTAAGAGCCCAAAGCAGCCAGTTTTCTCCTCTCCTTCCCTTACTGGTATTTAAGATGGATCAGCCCCAGAGATGAGTCCTGGAGCCTTGAATTTTGTTTAAAAAAATAATTGTAGGTTTCTCTCTTTGTAATAAACAATGTCGCAAAAGTAGAGAACCTATTTATGCTCTTGTCTTGCATTTATTGAGATGACTGTTTTTCATGCCTTTACCTCCCTTTATGTAAGAAAAGTGGACCTTTGGGCTTAAACTGCTCCTTTCAAGCTTCAGGAAGGCCCCCTAGTGTGACGATGTAGGAACTGGGTCACTAATTTCACCATCAAACTAGCCCTAGTATTGGGGGGTAGGAAGCAGAGGAAGGAGCTAGTTATACCTCAGTGGTCGGTTCTTTCTGGTCAACAGAGAGGCCATCAGGGGCTCCGAGAGAGTGTGGCAGACCTTTGGTGACTGACCCCGAAATCTCAGTAGTTTGGTTTGGAATCAGGTTCAAATCCCGCCTCTACCCCTTTGTAGCTGGGTGGCCTTAGAAACATTTTTTAAAAATCTCCTCTGAGCCTCAGTTCCCTCTTCTGTAAAAGGGGGCTGTAGTAATACCTATTTCATACACAGTGGCTAGTATTAAGTGGCCCATTAGCCCCATAGTAGATGTTCGGTTAAATATTGGTTTCCTCCCCGCTTTCTCTGTTAAGAAATTCCACCATACCTCACGGCTTCAGTTTAAGGAGGAGAGAGCTCTAACCCTATGATGTTATGTCTGGGTCTTTCTCAAGCCACAAGAACTGGAAAAATCTCTGGAGCTTATGGTGGGAACAGGAAGAGACCAAGTTGGCCACTTAACAATGTGGTCCTGCGGCTTCCAGGTCACCTCCTTGCATGCCGCTGGGCCACCCCACCCCAGGGAGTTATTGCTCAGGAAATTTATTACCAAAACAAACAGATCTGTACAAGGGGCCTTTGTTAGGTGACTTACCCAGGCCAGGAGGAATTGCAAGAATGAGTGAGGGAGACCAGGAGCTGGAGGGACCAAGGTGTGCCCAGGGGTGCTGCCTTCCCCAACGCTTCTTCCCCGACCCCTCCCCTCTACGTGGAACTTTCTAGGGTCTTACCAATTACTCGGTCCATAAAGCATCTGTTTGAGAAGCTCAGACTTTCCCCATACTGGCAGCCTTGCCCAGCGTTAATAGCTAACACTTACAGGTGCTTACAACAGGCAGCTCTGGAGAAAGTACTCCACAAGGTTCCTCCTTTAATCCTCTCATCACCCGAGACAGGTGCTTTCATAAGCCCCCTTTTCCAGATGAGTTAACTGAGGCTTAGAGAAGTTAAATTCCTCGCCCTAGGTCAGGCACTCATAGTGGTGGAGTTGGGACTGCCCCACACAGCTCCTTCCACTTCTGATTCTTATCTGCTGGAGGGAATGGGAAACTGAGGCTCAGAAGGAGGAGCAGACACCTGCAGAAGAGGAGGTGCGGTGGAGAGAGGGCAATGTCTAGGCCTTAGGATCCTGGGAGGTGAGCATCACTCAAGAGGGAGTTACAGACGCTGGAACCAATGGGATAAGGCCAACAGGCTTAGAGGCTGGGTGTTTCCTTAGACCCCAAACTGCAGGTACCTCCCACATCAGCCCATCCTGTGAGAGCATCACTCAAGAGGGAGTTACAGACGCTGGAACCAATGGGATAAGGCCAACAGGCTTAGTGGCTGGGTGTTTCCTTAGACCCCAAACTGCAGGTACCTCCCACATCAGCCCATCCTGTGGTTCCTTGAGGCAGGGGATGGGGATGGGCCATGGGCCACTGACCCATGGTTCTACCTAATACTGGTACTGCATTGCCACCTGCTCCAATATCACCATTACCCCCCTTCGGTAAGAGGGTCCGAGGCCCCTCTGCCCCTTGCATGCTGACCCTGCTCCACAGCCCCAAAGTGACCTCCACAGGAATTTTCCAGGGAAACCCCACATATGTCCCTGAGCTGGGGGGCTGGGTGAATGGAGAGTTGAGGGGATACTAGATGCCAAAGGGAGATCTGATTGTCCAGGGAGTCAAGAGCTGAGGCAGCTGCAAGTTTTCACGGGAACAGAGGAGGAACGGAGAGCGCAAATATGTGCAGGAGCCGGGAGAGGCTACGGGTTATCAACCACAGTTTCACTGGGACACCATCCAAGCAGAGGAAGGGGAGACTGGGGAGGCCGCCTAGAACTGGCCTCCACTGCCCAGAAGGAGCCGACCCTGGGCTGCCGGCGCCCCCTGCTGGACGCGCAATCTACACGGCGAGGAGAAGCCAGGTGGGAGGAAAGTCGCTTAAATTCCCAACTCCCCTCCTTTCCTGAGGAGGGGAGGGGGCAGGACCGGGCCAGGTTGAAAATTAGTATCACACACGGCTGACAGGCTTTTATTACAGACTTGGCACAGTGATTGATGGACAGAGAACCAAAAAGGAACTGCTGAGACCAGGCTCAAAGCTGGGGGGCTACACAGCGCGTATACACGTGTACTCATAAAATTACAGTTCACAGCACAACGACGAAAAGGGCAGGGAGGTAAGGGCACCCAGTGTCCTGTCCTGCAGGTAGCCACAGGGCGGATGTGCCCTCCTGTGCTCAGGCTTAGGAGGGGATCTAACATAGGAGAGGGCTGCCCTTGGAGGAGGCTTCTCAATAATAGACAAGCACACGCCCACACAGTCAAAGGAAGCAGTTTATAGAGTAGCAACTTCTACCCCAACCAGTGCAAATAATAGTTCTCTGATCCTGTCTTAGTCACAGCAAACATTTACCCAGCCTGGCTCCTCTCAGTTGCCAGTAGGCCGCTTGCTTATCCAGTGTGTCCCTGGTCGGCAGGCTTGTGCTCAAGGAAAGCAAATACAGTTCAGCACGGGACTCAACTGAAGGGTTATTAAAGGATCACAGACTGTGAGGTCAGCGCATCTGGTCCCTTGGGGGTCTTGTGAAAATACAGAATCAGATTCAGTGGATCAGGGGTGAGCCTGAAGGTCCGCATCTCTAAAGTGCTCCACACACAAGTAGCAAGGATCTAGACCAGGAGGTCTTAACTTTGGCTGCACAGGATTCCCTGGGATTTTAAAGGCTCCCCAGGTAATTCCAATGTGGGTGAAAACCAGTGATCTAGAAATCAACATCATCAGTAGAAAGAGGTAGGGAGTAGGGCAAGGGGATGTATGAGCAGTGTGAAGAGCATAATCTCTATAATAATTTAATTTTATATTTGAAAAATGAAATATATATGTGCGTACACACACACACAAAGTTTCCATAAACAAACATGGACAGTAAAGCTTGATTAAAATCTCCCCCTTGGGCCGAGCCAGTGGCGCACTCGGGAGAGTGCGGCGCTGGGAGTGCAGCAGCGCTCCCGCTGCGGGTTCGGGTCCTATATAGGGATGACCAGTGCGCTCACAGCGCTCACTGGCTGAGCGCGGTGCGGACGGTCTCAAAAAGGACAAAAAAAAAAAAACAACTCCCTCGCCTGTAGGTGCCAGCACATGAACGCCTTCTACAAAATTCCTGACTGACAGGGATTGAATACTGCTAGGGACAGAACACTTACTACCTAACAGAGAGCCCACTCCTCTTAGGCAGTTCTGATTGTTAGAAATCTCTCCCTCCCCATATCGAGATGAAACCTACTTCCCTGTTACTTCCACCTTTGGGCCCGTTGGAGCTACAGAGAATAAACTTAATCTCTTTTCCACATTGCTGTGCTTCAAACAATGGAAGGCAGCAATCAGTACGTAAGTACTATATGTACTATTGGTAAAAGAGTTCAGGTTCTTTTAATTTTTTAAATTATTTTTTTAAAAGATAACCGGTAAGGGGATCTCAATCCTTGACTTGGTGTTGTCAGCACCACACTCAGCCAGTGAGTGAACCGACCATCCCTATATAGGATCCGAACCCGTGGCCTTGGTGTTATCAGCACCGCACTCTCCCGAGTGAGCCACGGGCCAGCCCAAGTTCAGGTTCTTTTAAGTTTTAAGTAACACAAATTGATTCTAGCTATTTTAAGCCAAAAAAAATTCCGTGGCCTTGGTGTTATCAGCACCGCACTCTCCCGAGTGAGCCACGGGCCGGCCCAAGTTCAGGTTCTTTTAAGTTTTAAGTAACACAAATTGATTCTAGCTATTTTAAGCCAAAAAAAATTTTTTTTTTTTACAGATAAAGTGGGATGTTTTGAGGAAGAGGGAGGAACTGTGCCATGTAGACCTGGGAAGGAGGGATCCAGGGCAGCAACAGAGCAGCCAGACACTGTTGTGTGTTGGTTGCCATTAGTGTCTTGGTTACAATGACTCCCAAGGCTCTGGGTCTCTCCATTTCAAATTTCAAATTATTGACAAGAAAATCTGACTGGCTAGATTGGCTCAGGTGCCTACACTGGGACCAATCAGCTTTGGCTGGTATGACTTATGGTAACAGAAAGGGTTGCTGAGGGCCCACCCTGTGTCACCAGAAAGGGAGTCACACCAGTTGCTACCCCTAGAGGGAGCTATTCCAAAAATCACAGGCAAGGTCAATAAAGTATGGGATTACTTCTTGTTTGTGATTCTCTGTGTCACTGTTATACTCCACTGCCAGCTAATTGGAGAGCCACCTGAGTACAGAGAACTTGGAGGACAAGCTCTGAAGGGCCCCAGGGATAAGGGATGGGGGGTTTAGAAAGAAAGTCCTGGCTCCCAGTGCCCCAGTCCAACACCCTCTCTGAGCACCTAGCCCCAGCTCCAGAGTCCCCAGATTCTGGAGTCAAGGTGCAAGTCTCTCATACAGCCAGTCGTCCTCCCCATGGTGGGTCATGGGCCCCAGAGGGGAATCTCCTGTCTGTAGGTGCCGCCGAAAGATAATCCGGTCATGCAGGCGGTTGGTCTGGCCTTGCCAGAACTCCATCACCTGCGGTAACAAGACATAGCCACCCCTGCAGGGAGAAGCAGAGGTTTCAGTGTTCTGTGGATTTTTCCAGCCAGGTCACTCTCCCACCCACTTCTCATCCCAGGGTCTCTTGAAAGAAGTTGCTGGGATGCATCTAATGAGGGTTGCTGGGGAGGAGTAGATCTGTAATTCCACAGACAGGGTGGCTTCACATAAACGTGGGGGTCCTCATGTCCCCTTCTAGACAACTACCAGGTATCACTTACCAGTATTTTGGCTTAGGCACCTCTTGTTCCCGGTAGAGCTGCTCTAGTTCTTCATTTTTCTTTCTCAGATACTGCTCAGGGGAAGGAAAGAGAGGAAGAGTTAGGCCAGTCAATAACTCACTTACTACCAACTTACTAAGTATGTGCTCTGGGCCTGGCACAGGACACAGGTGAGTAAGGCAGACTGGCCCGTGTCCTCCAGGAGCACAGTCAACAGGAGGCTCAGACAGATAAAGGAGGCCTGTTTCCCCATCCCCACCTCCCCCAGAGAGATTGTCCTTTTCATTTAGCTAGAAAGGAGGGCCTGGCATCCCCTGGGGACAGCCTCTGGGGATGAGCCAAGGACCCCACCATCTGGGAACGACAGAGGAGGAGCCCCACTCACCTCCCGATCAGGGATCACAGAACTCTGGTGACTGACCACAGCCCCAATCTGGCTGCTCTTGGGGCGGGAGTGGAAGTAGGACTCAGCCTCCTCCTCGGGCAGCTTCTTCACAGGGCCCTCCACACGCACCTGCTCAGGAATGGCCCTGGCTGGATGGCGTTCAGTGCCACCTGCTCTCCTTGCCAGCATAGGTCCTGAGCCTCTCTGCCCTCTGACTTCTCTCTACCCACTGCCCCACCACTCCTGGCTCCAACTAGACCACCTGACTGAGAGCTATTTGAGAGGCAGAGTGCCCAGCCTAGGCAGCATGCTTGCCCCGTGTGAGGATCTTCACTAGGCTTGTCTGTAAACTCAGACCTCTGCCAACCCAGCCCACCCCAGGCTGTCCTGGGAACACTCACTCACCTGACGGTGAAGGGGTTCCCAGTAGAAGACAAGGGAAGCAAATGGATTAGAGTCCTGCAAATGAACGAGAATCCATAGACGCCATCAGGACAGGGAGAGGATGCCTCCGGCACGCATGGAAGGCATGAGAGCTGCATGCAGCATGTAGGCCCACAGCAGATGCATTCACTGGAGTGTCTTATTTAAATCCTCAAAGCTAGGCCTACTGTCACGGATGTGGAGATAGGCTCAGAGAGGTTAAGTAATGTGCCCAAGTTCACACAGTAAGTGCTGGAGCTGGGTTTAAGCCAGTCTGACTCCAAAGTGAGGCTTGGCCTTGTTTCTCACCCTTAGATTTACAAGTCCTGAGAAATGCACGTTTGACTGGCACAGACTCAGGGAGGCCTACTCATTTTGAATTTATTCACTGAATGCATACCAAGTGCCAACTCTGCACCCAACACCGGAAGAATTGTTGGGGATAACAGAGATCAAACCAATGCAGCCTCTGTTCCCACATTACTTACTGTCTCACAGAGGAGATACATATTAATCACATCATGACATAAATAAATCCATAATTACAAACTGAAAAAGTGGCAGAAAGTTGCAAGTTAACAATGACAGAAAACAGAACCAGGGTCTGCAGAGAGTCAAGGAAGGCTTTCCTGAGGAGGTAACATTTGGGCCGAGACGGAAGGAACAGGGGTCAATCAGGCATCTATTGGATGAGGGAGGAGCGGTTGGAGAGAGCAAGTGCCAGGGTCTGGGGCAGGAGGGAGCCTGAGCACTGGCGACAAGTGCACTGGGAGGTGGGGGGCGTGGGAAGGCCTTGGAGGAGGCAAGGGCTGGGCCCTGCAGGCCGGGGAAGGATTTACCATGAACCCTCACCAGCTCTTTTCCTTTTCGACTCTCAAAGTTAGTAAAGAAGCGGAAGCCATCCTTGCCAAAGCCCTTCAGCAGCAGCATGCGGGCAGAAGGTTTTCCATCTCTAGAGGCAACAGCACAGCACCATGGTCAGAGCCCACTTCAGTGTCCTCTCTAGTCCCTCTCTCCACAAGACGTCTCAGCACCCCCTCCAGCTGCGCCCCCCTTATCTGGCTCTCAGGCTACCCACTCCCATGGGCTCCTGGGGATTTGTCCTGGAGGGACAAGTATGACACCATTGCCTGGGGCCCCGTTATGGATTAAATTGTGTCCCCCCCCCAAAATCTGTATGTTGAAGACCTAACCCCCAATGTGATTGTATTTGGAGACGAGCCCTTTAGCAAGGTAATTAAGGTTAGACGAGGTCCTAATGATGGGGCCCTAATCCAATAGGACTGGTGCCCTTGTAAGAAGAGACAGCACAGAGCTCTCCGCATCTCTCTCTCTCCCTGCACACACACAGGAAAGAGCATGTGAGAACACAGCATTAAGGCAGCTGTCTGCAAGCCACAAAGAGAGGCATCACCAGAAATCAAACTGGATGGCACCTTGATCTTAAAGCCTCTAGAGCTATGAGAAAATAAATTCCTGCTGTTTAAGCCACTCAGTTTATAGTATTTTGTTCTGGCGGCCCTCACAAACTAATAAGGCCCTAATGGTAGGGACCAACAATAATGCAATCAGCCACCACTAGGGCAATTGCAGAAGGTGCTGTTATTATCAGGTCCTCTGCTCAGAGCTCTGGGGGAATACGCAGGGGCCCAGTACAAGAGCCCTAAGTTGAAGGCCTTACATTTTGGTGAAGGGAGACAAGAAGAGTTAAATAAGAGGCTAACATGAGAGATGTATATGACCGACTGTCAAATGAATGACATAGCCAAGAATTGCTAGATTTCAAGAGAGTACAGAGCTTCATGGAGAGGTCCCACAAGATGTAGCTCTTGAAGAGCAGATGGGGCTTGGGTGAATGGGGAGAGGAAGGAGGCAAGGGGTCGTGTGCGGGTGCACCAAGAGCAGAGATGAATGAGGCACTGCATTTTATCACTGAAATGGAATTTAGTGGTCTGATCTTTGGTTTAGAGGTAAGGACACTGAGGACCTGAGGCCACACAGCATTTAATAGCAGAGTTGGAACTATAAAGGTGGCATCCATCAAGTTAAGAGCTTCCTAGTTTCCTACTTCATCCGTACCCACCCACAGAGGGCCCCCCAGCTATGCCCACCTGGTGCAGGTAGCCAGACACATGGCATTGGCTTCCCCTATGTCAGGACACTGAACGGCCTCCTCAAACCAGGCAGCAAACTGCTTCATGGGGTCCAGGGAGATCAGATGAGCCTCCTCAAATGCCTGGGAAGGGAGTTTACTTCATTTAATAAACACATATAGTTCTTACGATACTCGGGGCACTGTTCAAAGCACTTTTCATATATTATCTCGTTTAGTCCTTATAACAATGATCGTTTAATAAAAACAGTACCCAGGAAATAGGTCCTGTGCCCCACTTTTTGGGGGGTGGTGGCTGGTTGGTATGGAGATCCAAACCCTTGACCTTGGTGTTATCGGCACGATACACTCCCAAGTGAGCTAATCAGTCAGCTCTGTGCCCCATTTTATGGGTGAGGAAACAGGCATAAAAAGGTGAAGTAAGGGCTGGCCCGTGGCTCACTCGGGAGAGTGCCGTGCTGGTAGCACCGAGGCCGTGGGTTCGGATCCTATATAGGGATGGCCGGTTCGCTCACTGGCTGAGCATGGTGCGGACCACACTGTGCCAAGGGTTGCGATCC